TGGGAGTGGTCTCTCCACCTACAGAAAATCATTATATATGTACCACATCTCAAAAAGCATTAATTTTATCTTCATTTTGGGGGTAGCATTTAATGAAAGTAACTACTCCAGGATTCAGACCAGGTGTTCCACCACATGATTTCTCATCAGAGACTATTCAAGATAGAAAAAAAGAAAGTCATTATGTTAGTCTTTGATGTGTTCTTTTAGAGGTAACCACTTCCACTCATTAAACCTTCACTTTCTCTACAAATATTTGCTGTACCCTTACGACAAATTATTTCTGAGGCACTACCTGGACCCAAGGAACATGGAGGTGAAAGAGAAAGAGGTGAAGTGCCAGGTGTTGACACTTGAATAGGCCTCAACCAAGACAAAAGACAGAAGGGCTCCAAACTGAAGAGAGATGCTTATGAAATATCTGGAGTGTGTGAAGGGAAGGGGACAAGGGAGCTGACTTCCACACAGAAGACAGAAGTAACATTTTTTTTAAGATTATTTACTTATGCATACAGAACTGGGGTACAGGGCAGGAGATGTGGAGGGTGAGAGATTCACCAGAGACAGAGCGGGGAGCAGAACAGGCAGATCGACGAAGTACACTTCTGAGGGGAGCAGCGCATGGGTCAGGAGAGGTCAGCTGCGCCATGTGGTCACCTTCTGGGTGGGGATTGAACTCATGCTGAAGTGGCTTTAGCTTCTTAGTGCTGTGCTTTAACCATTGCACCACCACGGAGGGCCCAGAAATAACATTTAATGGTATTTGAAAGGTAAAATTTGGACCTAGGGGGACTTTCTACATTTGGGGCAGAAAGATTACGAAGTATACTTTCTTGAACTGTGTGAAATAAACTGTGTCAGCCAGTTCATCAGTGGAAGTCACTACCAAGTGCCTTCTGTATACTGGACACTGAACTATGTGCTACCACTGGGCCTACGTGCTACCATGGAGGACGCCTCAGAGCTCATGTGTCATCTGTTACCACATGGGTGCTACTCAGAAAGTTCTAGAAGCAACAAAAAAAGGACAAAATTTCTCTTTTCATAAAGTCAGGGTTTTAGAGACAAAAGGACATTTGATATGTATTTGCTGAATAGTGCAGATGGGCTGTAAGCTAGAGTAAATGGCATTGTAGGAAACCAGACAGATAAGAGTCAGGCTGTGATGGGTCTTGAATGCCATGGTGACATCATTCTGTAAGCAGCATTGAGGATGTGATGTCTGGTGAGTTGGGAAATGGCAAAATTTGAATTATCTTCCAAGCACTAGTGTAACCCAGTAGCTATATTTAAGGACAGTAGACAGTGGACGAAGAGAGAAGTACTTGAAAGGAAGACAAAATTAGGGGACTGAAACATTTCCTAATTGGGATGAAAGAATAAGATGCTGACATGTGTTCATACAAAAGAAATATTCTGGGTTCAAACATGTTCTGGAAACTGCAATTAAAATGTGTTACATCAGCTTCTCAATGCAGAATTCTCAAGGCCTTTATTTAGTATGCAGTAAAATAGTAGTGCATTATAAACAGCCAAGTGGGACTCAACACACACCACTTTCCAAGCTTATTTGACCCCAAGGCCCTTCATCCACCAAAATATATTCTCATGCTGGTGTTCTCTGGACACAATGATGGCATTTCATCTCTTAGTAGAACCCAAATTCCAATCAGGTTGTTGTGGGTCTCTGTTAAAAGTCTGGCATTTGCTAGGTATTTTATGAGATCAGGGTCTTGTGAAGCAAAGCAAATCAGGCTAAAAGACCCACAAAAACTTTAAGCACAACACAGTAGAAGAAGTGCAGAGATTGGTGGTGGTGAGGCACTCAGAGGCGGCTGTGGGCCCTCAGCCAGATCTGAACACACTGTATGAGGCAGAAAAGGGTCACTCCAGGAGAAGCACGCAGCAGGAACGTGGGCACAGCAGGATGACTGTTTGTAGGGGGAGTTGTGGGAGGACTGGCTTGACTGAAATGAAATGTTCCAATTATGGGTTAACGATTAATTTGTCTGCTAAGCAATAGAAAGTCCTTGGGTTTCTGAGCACCATTGCCCCAAATGGCAGTCATCATTCTTTTTTTTTTTTTTTTAAGATTTATTTATGCATTTAGAACTGGGGTACAAGCCAGAGGTGCAGGGGTGGTGACAGTCTTTACCAGAGACAGAGTGGGGAGCAGAACAGGTAGATCGATGAAGTACACTGCTGAGGGGAGCAGTGGGCAGGTCAGGAGAGGTCTGCAGTGCCGTGATATGGATCACCTCTGGGGCTGGGGATCAAACTCACACTGAAGCAGTTGTGGCCAGCTTGCAGTGTTCTGTCTTAACCCACTGTGCTACCAGGGAGGGCCAACACTCATCAGTCTAAGCAGCTAGTTGAGAGCCTCCTGAAAGCAGTATTTTTCTAGGCACCTCACAACCCCTTGAAGCAACTTGACTGCTTTACTGTGGCTGAGACTTTGACCCAGCCAGGTGACATGATTCTAAAGTAGAGCTGTTTGAAAGATAGAGAAAAACCCAGTTTAAGGCATAAGTAGCTTAGTGATAAAATAGAAAAATAGTTTTCCCAATAGAATGCTTGCATCAGGAGTCTAGGTTATCTAGAAGGAAATGAAAAAGTTGTGAGAAGTTTTATAGTTTCACCTCCCAAAATGAGCACCCCTGTCCATCTGATGGTGAATATTTACATGACTTCAGGACTCAGAAGTTCATGTGAGGGGTGAAAAAAATACCTGGTTTATTGGAAGACTTGATTCCTCATGTTTATTTCTCCCATCGACAGCTGGATAAGATTATTGCTGCCAATGATTCTAGTGAGTCCAAGAACATGGGAGTCCACACGAGGTCACCAAGAAAATTGAGTGGACATACATGTCAATGAAATCTTGGTAAGTCAAATTGCCTTATTTTAACAGTGGATTGTAGCTGATGTACTGTTAAAGGCCTATTGCTGCCAATCCATTTAAACAGTTGGCATAGAAATACAAAATGTAACCATCGACCAAATCAATGCCCTCCTTATTCAGTAATTTCAAAACAAGATACAATGGGAGTGGTCTCTCCACCTACAGAAAATCATTAGTGTCATTTTTTGTTTCCTGGTATTTTCTGATTTTCATTTGTCTCTCACACTTTCACTGTTGTCTGCCAAACTGTCCCCATGAACGAGGTGATTTTGATTCCAGATCCATTTTAGAAGGCAAGTGTGTTGCATCGGATTCCAGGTGTGACTGGCTTTCTGATAGGTGGGCATACTTCAAGGTCCACTTAGTGTCCAAATGGCCACGGGCTACTTATATCTGATGCCCCCACTGTAGAGCATTGTAAACAGATTATACTAAGATGTGTTTTTTTTTTTTTTCACTTCTTATACCCTAGTTTTGTCAAAGACACACACCATGAGCTTGCTGATAGCAAAGAAGAATCCCAGATTCTTCCAGAGACCTAGAATGAGGGGCTTCATCCACAAGCACAAGGTTCAGGAAGTGACCTGTGTCTGTCACCTGCCGGCACCAAAGCATAGGCCACACGTGACAAGGAGCCCACCTCCCTCACTGTTTTGCAAGTGACTATAATGCTCTAGTTCTAATTTCTTTTTTTTTTTAAGATTTATTTATTTATTCATACAGAACTGGGGTGTAGGCCAGAGATGCGGAGGGTGAGAGGATTCACCAGGGACAGAAGGGGGAGCAGAACAGGCAGATCAATGAAGCACACTGCTGAGGGGAGCAGCGGGCGGGTCAGGAGAGGTCTGCCGCGCCATGTGGGTCACCTCCAGGGTAGGTGGGGATCAAACTCATGCGGAAGTGGCTTACGCTTCTTAGTGCAGTGCTTTAACCCTCTGTGTCACCAGGGAGGGCCCTCTAGTTCTAATTTCTAAAACTTTATAGGCCCCAACAGCAAATTAGTCTTCCTTTTCTGTTAAGAATTCAAATCTTAAAGCAGTTCCTAAAAATCTCTCAGCCAGCCAAGAATCTGACCAGCTTCCCCCTCTCGGGGAGGTGGTGGCCAAGGACAGTGAATAACTCAGCCCTCCCGTAGCTGGGGGTGGCATTTTCAAGTACATGTTTTTTAATTCTCCCTCGGCTAATCTTTCAGATCCTGGAACTCGAGGCGCCTCTGATCTGGGCACCACGTCACCCAGCTTTTACCATTGGCAGAATTACGGACATGAAAGTAGAGTGGAATTTGGTCAGACACATAGGGGGATATTCAGGTTTTAGGTGGTGCCAAGCACATTGAATGACATTGTCTCAATTTTAACTCTTTTCTGTGTCTTCTTCTATAGACTCGTTTCCAGCAGAGGAAAATACAAACTGACAGGCTGTGAGCAGTTATATGTCAATTTAGCTCACTTTGATTCCCTCTTGTCTACTATAGGGGTTGGAGAAGGTCTGAATGAATATTTTTCAGTATCTTAAACTCATATTATTCTGCAGACATTGTGGGTGGTCTTTTTTTTTTTTTAAATATTTATTTATTTGTGCATACATAACTGGGGTGCAGGCCAGAGGCTCAGGGGCGGTGAGAGGCTTCACCAGAGACAGAGTGGGAAACAGAACAGGCAGATCGACAAAGTACACTGCTGAGGGGAGCAGCGGGCGGGTCAGGAGAGGTCTGCTGCGCCATGTGGTCACCTCCGGGGCAGGCGGGAATCGAACTCATGCAGAAGTGGCTCTAGATTCTCAGTGTTGTGCTTTAACCTGCTGCGCTACCAGGGAGGGCCTGTGGGTGGTCTTTAACTGGAAAAATTCCATTTCCAATGTAAGAGGCCCCAGCATACTTAGAACAGTTCACAGTCAAGGACAGTTGCCTGATAGGACTTTTACACATACCTTATCTCATAGTAACATTTCTGATGAAAGCCAAGTGGAGAAATTGAATATGTTTCTCTCTCCTCCTGACATCACAAATTATCTTGCTCTCACAGAAGCCACAGGACCGATATGGTAGGTGTGAGACTTGAGGGTTGTTGGTTATGCATGGGGTTGGAAGATATGAAGAGAATAACAATTAGATTTTGAATCACTGTGTGTGGCAAAAGTGACCTAAGAGCTTGGGCTTTTGGGTTATTGTTGACAAGAACTTTAATTGAGGCAGAGATAAGGATGACATTGTGAGTCAGATGAGAGGTGGCGGATTTCAGAAGACATTTCTGATTTTGCTAAGGTGAAGGAAAATGAGGAGGAATCTGTATGCTTCAAGGAAATCAGTGCCAGTCGGTGCACAATGAACATTGATGGGCAAAGGAAGGTAACCGAGTACCAGAGATTGAATGTACAAGGCTTCTCAGGGCCCAAGACTGCCAGAGGCCAGCCAAAGATCCTCCCATCAGGGATTCAGATGCAAAATACAGTGTGGCAGAGACTTTTCTTAAAATCACCAGTTCTTGAATTCTGAACTCCTGTAAAGTCTTTCCAATTCACTTGGGCAAGAGATTTCAGTTTTACAAAGGAAAAAAATATGAAAGAAATGTTACATACCCATTGTCTTATTCATTCTAGAAGAGGACCCACATAAAACCAAGCATTCCCCAAATTTCTCCATCTATAAGTCAATAAATACTTAATTGAAAGTGCAGATTTTCTGAGCCCAAGCTTGCTCATTCATTCATTTACTTATTAGAAACTGTGTAATCATTATATGCCTGCTTTCCAGACTTGTTGAACATGTTAGTCATGGGGTCATGAAAAATACTCTTCAAGGCTGTACCATACTTTCAGGACCCCATAGGCTAGTGAATAAGATTGCCATATAGACAAGTAAATTTAAGGTATTCTATTTAAGTACACAATAAATGAGCTGCTGACCAGTGCAGTAGAAGCCCAGGGCAAGGGAGGTTGAATAAGGTCATGGGCAGGAAAAGCAGGATGGCTTGGCAGTGGTAGTCTGATCGGAGCTGCACTTAGGAGGAAGACAGCAGTGATAAAGGAAAGAACATTCCAGAGATCATCTACTTTGGATGTACGGCAGCACAGCTAAAGAAACTGGTGATGGTAACAAAGGCAGAGACCAGAGGGAGCAGGCCCACTGTGACCCCACTCGCCCCCCGCCCCGTCCTCACCTTGTGTGGATGCTGTGTTCTCACTGCAGTGTGACTCAGTAGAGAGAACCCCCATGCCTGGGGTGCATATTTTTTCATGGAGATCGCCTTCTGGCTGTGAATGACCTGAAACTCCAGAGCCTGAAGGAGGTCTCCTTTTTCCTCAGCCAGACCATCCAGAAGGCGATGACTCCTGCTGACTAGCCAAGGCCATAGCCAAGGATGCAATAAGATTAAGGTCGCAGAGTCTGAACCGGGTGAATAAAAGAATAAGTGTAAGAGTATTTTGGACAACAAATACAAACAACAGGATGCTATTTTAGGACTCCTTCAAAGTTCCTCCTGGCCCAGTGGAGATAGTAGAGAGAGCACCAGGCAAGGAGACAGAAAACCTGTATTTGGGACTGCAGACGTGACGTGGTATCACAGAATGAGCTGCAGCTGAATCCAGTCAGCTCAGTTTGCATGCTACTCCTTTAACCAATTTGTGTCTCAGTTTTCTCTTCTGTGAAATTTGAAATACTTGTAACACTTTTTGTTGGGGATTCAATGAGATAATACAGGCAGTACCCCTATAATAATGACTGGCACGTGTTAGGAACTTAATGTGTCTACTAGTAGTAGTTTTCACTTCTACTACTAGGGAATAATGGACAGGCTTCCCCTTTTATTAATCTTCTCAGTGGTTGATATAGCTAGATCTTCCTCAGAGAGTGATTAGAAGGAGCAAAATATGTGTGTACTAAATACCTTTTCGAGGCCTAGCCACACTCCTTCCCACTCATGATCTCCATATTGCTGATAGCTTCCCTGGTCGATTTTTGAAACTAGCCCACATGACCTTGAGAAAATCACTTTCTTCTCTGGGCTTTAGCTTTTTCTCACTAAAGTGAGTTGGTTTTCCAACTCACTGTGTTTCTTGGACAGAGGAGTGGGAGGGGGCATTGCATCAGGAGATGGTTAACTCTCCTTGAAGGAGCTCTCCTTGGCTTAAAATTTGTGAAAGCCACTCTATTAGATGATCCCCTGAGCGTCTCTATGATTATACATGTCCATCCCTTCTGTATTATACGGTCATCTTATCGGTTACACACATTGTGACATCCCTATTATCTAAATGGGGAAAGCCAGTGAGGGAGTCATCAAATAGAAATTCGTCTTCCACCTGACTGTACAAGTCACCCCCTGCTTCCTCAAGCCCAGATACTGACTGTAGTTTTTCACAGGGCTTTTCCAGCTTCAAGGCCTGTGAAAGCGGACACATTGAGAACAAACAATCCTGACCATCATCTCAGTCATTTGATACTCTTCCTTCTTGTGTTTCAGAAAGTAAAATTCACCATTCACCATATCCCAAATTCAGAGAAATTCCATGCTACATACTGTACATGCCAAGGTGTAGTACCTTTTCAGGTGGATAAGGCTGAACTGGAGAGGGTCCTTAAGAGGAGTCCTGCGATTAAAAAGAGTCCTCAGAAGGGAGACAACACACCAGAAGCCACTGCAACCCAGTGAGGATGACGTGGGCTCTGGAACGCCTCGGCCCTCACTGCTGTGACCTGGGGTCAGTCCGCACACCCCTCTGAAGCTGCGCAGCTGCATATTAACAATGGGTTAACTGGGATATTGAGAGGGCCATGTGTGACAATGACTATGGAACACAGCGAAGATGTCAATGACTATGGAACACAGTGAAGATGTCGTCCCAAACACAGACAGGGATTAGGAGGGCCTCATCCAAACACACTGTATATTCTGTGAAGTCACAGTCCCTTCTGTTAGGGGACATACGTTTGGACACTCATTCCAGGAAAGCAAGATTCCTGAGAGATAAGAGGTACAACTTCAGCCTTCCCAAACAGCTCCTGCAAGGCCTCGCACCTGTGCCCAGAATGCTGAGGTAGAGTAGCCTCTTGGAGTGGGTAAAATCTGGCTTTCTTAAGGGCCCAGTAAAAGAGCTGCTTCCTCCATGAGTAATGAGAAAACTGCTTCACCCCTCTGAAAGGGGTAGTCTACACTGGAAAGGTCTTTGCTCTTTGATTCAATAACTAATCCTGGAAGGTCAAAAGAATGAAATCTTTTTTTTTCCCCCGTAAATAGGGAAAAGAATGAGAGCTACAAAACTGATGAAAATTGGGGAATTTTTGAGAAAAGGCACCTTCAGAAAATATTTTAAGATTTTTGTCATTTCACATGGGAAGAAATCAAAGCCACAAATCAATTGATAATATACTTTATTTCTGGCTTCTGGTTTCACAGTGGCTTAGTGGCAGAACCAAAAATTTAAAACCAGCTCTGAGGAACAGATGTTCTGATCCCCACTTTGTGTTTAGATTTAAATTTGGCAAGGCCTTCAGCACTTAGAAGACACATTCAAATACAGTTTCTTTTCTGTCGTCCAGATTGTGCAGAAGGTATAAAATTTTTCATTTACCTGCCCTGTTTGAACTACTGTTTCTACTTCTAGAAATTTCTTCTATAGAAATACTCACATGAGTCAAAAATGGTTTCATAAAACAATATTCACTGCAGCCTGTTTGTAACAATAATAAAAAGGTCTTTTGAGGAATTATGATGACTCCGTGTAATTGAGCCCTGCAGATGCAGGTTCTGGACACCTGTTATAGAAAGATGTTCACAAAGGCAGATTGAGGGAGCAAATTGCAGAACAGAAGCTATAATATTGCACAGTTTTTGCAAAAATAAATCACTGATGTTTGTGTAGTGTGTATATGTTTAAGGAATCTCCCAGGTCTGTTTAGGGAGAGAAATCCCCACTTCATGGCGCTGTAGCGAATTTTAGAGGTACACACACAGCACCTAGAACATTGTCTTATATATAGTGAACTCTCAGTAGATGTTGGTTATGGCGCTACTGTTTTGAGCATGCTTTATTGTTTTCACGAATCTTGAAAAACACACATCAAACTGTCCATAAGAATCATCTCTGATGAGTATGTCCAAAGGTTGGCACAAAGGGAGAAACATGTGATTTTTTTTTTTTTTACAATGAGCATTTGTCAAATTTGAATTAAAAAAAAAAATCTTGAACATAAATGTATTTTTAAAACCCTCAAGACTAAGAAGTCAGATAACCTCAGTGAAGAAAATAAACAACCATCAGGGCGAACAGGCAACAATTTGGATGGAATTTGCCCACTTAGCTCAGAAGCCTGCATCCCACTGTCAATAAAAGCTAAACTCAGAGACAAGGAAGAGCCACCAAGCCTTTGCCCACCTCGTGGCATCAGAGGAGCCCACAGACTAAGGTGGTGACTCATTTACGTGGCTGGTGAAATGCAGAAACAGGAACGCAGAACTCTGGGTTCCCAGTCCACGCTCTCTGTGCTCACTGCGGTGAATGGGGACCTCTGTTCCTGCTCCCTTCTGAATCCCAGAATGTTCTGCCTGCGGCAGAGTCAGCTGGGGTACTTGTTATGAAAATCCTACTCTGGGGACTGCTCCCATCCTCCAGCCACACCCATACTCTGCTAGCTGCAAAAGGCCATCTCCAAACTTCACGATTCCAGGTGTATGAGTGTGAGCGAAGGTGGAGGCAGGAGCTTCAGAGAGCTGGACCCAGCTGGCGCTGTGAGGGAGACCCTGCTCTGGGCACACTCCTGGAGTAAGGAGCTAATTGCACTCTATTGTTGGCCAGCACACCCTGGGCTAAATCTAGAGCATTCCTTCAGCCTCCCTGGGGAAGAAACCAGGACCTGGATGTAGGGAGAGGTTTACCTTGGCTCCCCAGTCCAAGTATTGCTAGATCCCCTCCAACATCTTTTCTGCTCTTGCACCAGTTTCTAGGAAGACATTTGAAGGGTGTCACCTTTCAGGACATGTCAACATAATGGTTGCCTCAGGCCTCTAGAATGGTCTCAGATAGTCTCCATAGCCCTAATTTGTTCTTCTATGACGGACACAGACTATTCAGAGAAAAATCAAAATCACAGCTGGTGAGATATATAAGAATGTGCAGGGTCAAATGCACATACCTTTACTGGAAGCTGTTGACATGTCAGCATGGATTACAGGAAGGCCATGGGAATTACACAGGCCATGAATGACTATTTGCTTACATATCTTTTTTTTTTTTTTTTTCAAATTCCAGCATCATCATTTGTCTAGAATTGATCAACACGCCCATATCTTGTTAAGCTGCTGAGATTCATTGTTATGGGCATTATCTCACCATACTCTTATTTTCTAAACAGAACTGAGACATAGAAGACTATCTTTCCCTACACCAGTGTTTACAAACAGTTTTTAATTCTATCTTTTTAAAAATAAATTTAGTGTGGGCCTGCAGATGATGCAATTAGTTCTAATGTCACATACACCAAGAATGAATCCACCATGAGTGTGGCATCAAGGTTTTATGAGTAAAGCTCATTGTTTTTTGGACAGGGATTCTGTGATATTGACTCGATGACCTTGATGGTGGTGTTGGTGGCATTGTCATTTGTTTGCCTTTGGTTCTCAAGTAAGTTTTGGATAGTTGAGACCACCAGAAAAATGTTTGGGAGCTAAGTAAAATGGCTCTAAGAAAAATGAAAAAACAATTACCTACCACACTAGGTGTAACAGAAGAGTTCAGGAAGGAATGACATCATGGCAGAGTGTGGTGCTATGAAGGACATGAATCTGAACCCACTGGATCCTGCCACCCCCTTATAAAACTGGGCCCATCTCTATACTCCCGTGGGGAAGGGAAACTAAGGCACAGAGAGGCTAAATAACTTGCTCAAAGCCTTAGCTAGAATTTAACAGAGCCAGAATTTAAAGCAACAGGTTGACTCCAGAGGCCCCAGGCCTAATGCTAACCACTCTAGAAGCTTCCTGGATGGCGACTAGAGCCTTGAAGAGGATCATACTTGGGGCCGTGATGCCAAGGAGCCAGCACAAAGCGCACTTGCAAGTGAAGACAGGGAACGTATGGAATGATTCACTTTTTCATACATCTCTGATTCAATAATAGCCATTTATCTTCTGGGCCTGTTGCCCAGAAGCCTACACCTTATGTTCCAGGAACCAGGGGAATTCTGTGGAGGCTTCTGTCATGACTGACTGGCCTGTTTTAAAGTCCTTCTTTTAGTTGGCCATCTGGCTCCAAACTGCCTTCCAGTTAACAAGCAATTAATGCATTAAGCTAGCCCTCTGGATAGGAGCTGAGCAATTAAGAATCCTTGACTTTGCAAACCTTATCATCAAGTGGGACAAATGCAAATTTATACACTGATAACTACAAAGCAAGTCAAATAATCTGAATCCTGTGTTAAAGTACAAGTTAGAGTTACTATAAGGAAAAGTCAAAGATGAATCTTACTTTCTTTGGGAAAGCTTCACTGTTCCTAGGAACTGAATGGCGGTGAGGGAAAGGGGGTAGAATTTTATATCTGGAAGAACAAATAGAAGTCATTTGATCTTCTAGAACAGATCAAACCCGAGCACAGTCATCAGAATCAAACTGGCAGGACTGAAGAAGCTCTCAAGAGTACATAGAATGCCTTGATAATTATGCAATTCGAGACCTTTGAATTTTCACCACCAGCACTTTTTGAGCACCTCATGGGTTCAGGGCACAGTGCCAAGCACGGTAATATTAACAGGAATAGAATATGTTCCCTCAGGGAAGAGATAGTCCAATTAAGGATATAGGTGTAAAAATTGCTTAGGGCTAAAATATCCCCTCACTGAATTAAAAACATGTTGACATAAAATCTTGTACATGATTCTTCCTAGCAGCATAACTCCTAAGAGCCAAAAAGTAAAACTGTCCGTCAATTGATTTACAGATAAATAAAATGTGATACAAACAGTGAACTACTTGTTAAGCTATAAAAGCAGACGAAGTGTAAATGATACAGCTACCACATGGAGGAAGCTCGAAAACATGACACGAAGTGAGAGAAGCCAGGCACAAGAGACCATGTTTGCAGGATTCTGTTTATATGAAATGTCCACAGTAGACAATTCATAGACAGGCAGGGGTGGCCAAGACGTGGGAGAAGGGAGGAAAGAATGGTGAGTGAGTGACTGCTAGCAGGGAACAGGCTTTCTTTCTGGAGTCGGGACATGTTTGGAAATTTGCCAGTGGTGATGGTTGTACAATTTTGTGGATATTAAAACCGCTGAAATGCTTATTCTGGGCTGCTACCCACGGATGTGGTCTTGGTTGGCCATTTGCAGTTCCACCTCCCACTGCTCTTCTCCTCCATGCCACTCAGTGCCACCACCTCAAACCAGCAGCTCAAGGGCTCCCACGAGCACTCACAGAGGACAACGGGTTCCACTCCACTCCCCTTCCGAGTTGATGGGAGACCATGCCGGTAAGACTAGTGACCAGATCAGTGAAGCTGTTCCCGATGCCCACCTTCAGCGGGATCCTGAGGCCACAGAGACTGGTGAAACTGTGGCTGAGGTTGGAATGATCCTTCTGACAGGGGAACTGCATCCAGGGCTGTAATGCCAGGACGTCGCTGGTGAAACCATCATTCACATTGGAGGGATGTTGT